GACGGAATCAAAGAGACCACCATTTTACACAGGGGAGGAGGAGGGAGGATGAGGGGAGCTCCAAAATGGTATCGGAGGATATGGAGGTGCAACAGCGTGGTCACGAGGAGGGCTCGACTCATAGCTTTGTTCCGGTGACGGCTGAGAACCGGCGATCAGAGCAGGCCACTCTGGGTAAGGTAGAATATGGCAAGGTAGAATATAGCAAGGTTCAATCTGCTTCCCCAAACATAGGGATTGCTAGTATTTCGGCGGATTTGGTGACCTCATTGGGCGGTATGGGGGGGGTGATCATTCTTTGGCGCCAAGGTCAGATATTCAAATTACGGAGGGCTGGGGTGGGAGGGACTTTGACTTGATTGGGCCTGATATGAGGAAGGGTTTGGAGGTGGGGCATATTGGGACGATGGGGGAAAGGCTTGAGGGGCCGACGCTTGGGGGCTTGGGGGATCAGGATGGGCCCAAGCATTGTGGGTTGGTAAGGCCAATTGTGGACGTTTTTGTGAGCCCTTAGATTAATATGGGTACATCTTCTAAGGGCCCAATAAAGGTGTGGAAAAAGTGGAAAAAGTTGGCACGTAATATTATACCACCGGTGGAGCAGAGGTCGTTACCCGCTGGTTGTACGAAGAAACTTGTGGGGAAGAGGGAGAGGGGCTTCTGTAATGAGTCCTCGGGTTCTTCCGATGTCCGCGAACGGGTGAAGATTATTGAGGGTATGCTACGACATGGTTCATCTCTCCAATTAACGGTGGAGGCTGCTGGGCAGCCCCGCCGATCACGATGAAATGCCTCAGTTGGAACTGTCGTGGGCTTGGGAATCTGCGAACAGTTCGAAATCTTCAGCTTTTGCTGAAGGAACAAGCGCCTGATATGGTCTTTCTTATGGAGACAAAGTGTGTGTCGAGCAAGATGGAGTGGCTTCGCTGTAAACTTGGTTTGGCTAGGGGTTTGTTTGTCGATAGGATGGGTTTGCCTGGGGGGCTAGCATTGTTCTGGAGGACGGGAGTGTCGGTGTCTATTCGTAGCTACTCTAGTGGGCATGTCGATGCTGTTGTGGAGTCGGACGGGGGGATTAGAAACTGGCATTTTACGGGGTTCTATGGTCATCTGGAAGTCGTGAAAAGACGGGATTCGTGGGAGTTGCTTCGTCGCTTGGGCGGCTTAGATGATCTACCTTGGTTGGTGGTGGGAGATTTCAACGAGATTTTGTTACCTTCAGAGAAGTTGGGTTTGGGAGACCGAAGCAAAGCCCAGATTGATGCCTTCCAACATGCTCTTTCGGATTGTTCATTAGCTGATTTGGCATTTTTCGGGCCCTGTTTTACGTGGTGCAATAATCGGCCATCTGGGTTGGTACGTGAACGATTAGATCGTGGAGTGGCTAATGATGCTTGGCTCGCCATTTTTCCGAAGGCTAGGGTGGTTCATCTCACTTGTACGACGTCGGACCACATGCCAATTCTGGTTGACTTGTTGGGGCCGCAAGTGTGTCCGAGTGGGCAGAGGTGGCGACAACGTATCTATCGTTTTGAGGCGATGTGGCTCCGTGATGGTAGATGCGAGGAGGTGGTCAAAACTAATTGGGTTTGTGCTCAAGAAGGTAGTATGGCTCAAGAGGGAAGTATGGCTGGATTACGGCTTACTGTGGAGAAGATGGGTTCTTGCTTAGCCCAGTGGGGGAGGACTACGTTTGGTCATGTCCAACAGTTATTGCGGTCTAAGTTGAATGAGGTGCGGCGCTTGGAGGGTCTGTCCGTGCTCTCTCGGGACGAGTATGGAAAGCGCATGCAGCTATGTAGTGAGATTGATGAACTCTTGGAGAGAGAGGAGACTTTGTGGTGCCAAAGAGCGAGAGCGAATTGGCTGAAAGAAGGCGATCGGAATATGTCTTTCTTCCACTCCAAAGCGTCGCAAAGGCATAAGAAGAAGAGGATTGATGGGCTTCAAGATGATCATGATAGATGGTGGTCTACACCGGAAGATTTGGAGCGAATTGTCGTGGGGTATTTTGTGGAGCTGTTTGATGCAGGGCAACAGTGTGATATTGGGGAAGTTTTGGCTTCCATTCACGTTGTCGTTCCACCCGAGAGGAATGTCGAGCTAGCTCGACCATATACCGCAGATGAGGTGTCATACGCTTTATTTCAGATGCATCCTACGAAAGCCCCGGGCCCGGATGGCAAACCAGCATTATTCTATCAACGGTTTTGGCCGATAGTCGGGGCACAAGTCACACGGGCGGTGTTAGGCATTCTTAATGAAGGCAAGGCGGTGACGGCTATGAATGACACATTTATTGTGTTAATTCCAAAAGTGAAGTCACCCAAACGGATGTCTCAATTTCGGCCAATGAGCCTTTGTAACGTGGTCTACAAGCTAGTAAACAAGGTGTTAGCCAATCGAATGAAGAAAATATTACCCGATATTATTTCGATGAACCAAAGTGCTTTTGTGGCGGGGCGGCTCATTAGTGATAATGTGCTTGCCTCATTTGAGATATTTCATTTTTTGAAGAATAAAAGGCATGGAAAAGAGGGACATTTCGCCCTAAAGCTCGATATGAGCAAAGCATACAATCGGGTTGAATGAAGTTTCTTACAAAGGGTCATGGAGAAGATGGGTTTCAATCAACTTTTTGTGGATACAATAGTACATTGTATCTCCTCTATGTCATATTCGATCCTTGTGAACGGGAGTCCGACAAAGAAATTTGTTCCTACAAGGGGGCTGCGACAAGGGGACCCGCTCTCTCCATATTTGTTTGTGTTGTGCGCGGAAGGTCTTTCTGCTTTAATTAAAAGAGCTGAAGGAGAGGGTAAGCTTACGGGGGTGGCGGTGTGTCGAGGTAGTCCACGGGTGTCTCATCTTTTATTTGCGGGTGATAGCTTGTTGTTTGGAGCTGCGAACATGCAAGAACTAGCGGTGGTTCAAGATATTTTAGGAAAATATGAGTTAGTTTCAGGCCAGAAAATTAATCTTCAGAAATCGGCTATCTGTTTTAGTAAGAATGTGGGGATGGATATTTAGGCGGGGTTGCGGAATACGATGGGGGTTGGTAATTTGGTGGACTCTGGAAAATATCTCGGGTTGCCTTATATTGTGGGCCGCTCTAAACAAGGCATATTTAATTCTGTTAAAGATAGAGTTTGAACTCGGTTGAATGGGTGGAAGGAAAAGTTTCTATCCGTGGCTGGTAGGGAGATATTGCTTAAATCGGTGGCACAAGCTATCCCAACGTATATTATGTTCTGCTTCCAGTTGCCTGATGGAATTTGTGAGGATATTGATTCTATGGTGCGTAACTATTGGTGGGGTGAGAGGGAGAACAAGCGGAAAATTCATTGGAAAAATTGGCGATCATTGTGTGACCCAAAATGGGTGGGTGGGATGGGGTTTCGTAGCTTGAAGGCCTTTAACAAAGCATTGTTGGCCAAACAGGGGTGGAGGTTGATTTCGATGCCGGATTCTTTGGTGGCCAGAATTTTGAAGGCTAAGTATTACCCTCACACAACGTTTCTTCAAGCTACTGTTGGGTCGAATCCCTCGTTCACATGGAGGAGCATTTTTAATGTAAGACCGCTTTTGGAAGCCAGGTTGAGATGGCGAGTGGGGGATGGTCGGTCAATTCAGCTTTGGGGTGATAAGTGGGTGCCGCGACCTCATTCTTTTCGGGTTTGTTCACCACCTTCACCACAGTTACAGGGTGCTTTGGTTAGCGACCTCATCGATGAGGATAGGCATTGTTGGGACGTCAATGTATTGCAAGAGAATCTCTTGGAGATGGACGTGGAGGCAATCCGGCAAATCCCTCTTTGCTGTTATGGCATTCTTGATAAGTTGGTTTGGCACTATACGAGGAATGGGCTGTTTTCGGTTCGCTCGGCGTATCATTTGCAAATGAATATTAGTGGTCGGGAGGTGCGCGGGTCTGGGTCTGATGTGCAGAATGTGAGTTGGTTTTGGAAGCAAGTATGGAGCCTTCGCATTCCCAATAAGATTAAGGTCTTTGCGTGGAAGTGTTGTTCCAATATTTTACCGGTTAAATCAGTTCTTCGGCAGCGGCATATATTGCAGGAGGACATGTGTGATGGATGTGGGGATGTAGCAGAAACGGTAATGCACGTTTTATGGGAATGTATGAGGGCACGGGAGGTCTAGCTTCAAAGTCCGATACCGTTGGTGCTTGATCATGGCGTTGGTGGCGATTTTATGGGATGGGCATATGGTGTTGGACGTCGGACGGATAGTGTCACACTAGGTTTGTTTTTCGCTCTTTGTTGGGGGTTGTGGTCATCGCGGAATCAAGCTCTTTTTAGTAATGCCATTCACTCGGCTGCCGCAACAGTTTAGATGGTGTGTGATTTAATGCGAGATTTTGAGCAGGTTCATTCCAACGTGAGTGGGATTCCAGTGGCTCATGGAATTGCGAAGTGGAGACCACCGATTGGGGAGATTCTTAAAGTGAACTTCGATGGGGCCATGTTCATGCGGCAGAAGGTCTGTGGGGTAGGGGTGGTGATTCGGGATCTCAATGGCGTTCCTGTTGCAGCTTTATCGGTGCAAATTCCACAATGGATGGAGAGTGATTGTATTGAAGCTATTGCTGTTGTCAAGGCTTTGGATTTTGCAACAGAATTGGGATTAACAAGCATTCATTTGGAAGGTGATTCCCTTACTGTGGTCAAGGCTATGCGAGAGGATGGTTATCTTAATGCTTCGTTTGGTCACTTTTTACAATATGCCATTGATCGTAGTAAGCAATTTGCGAGCTTCTGTGTTTCGCACACGCGCCGGAGTGGCAATGTAATGGCTCACCATTTGGCTCAAATGGCTAAGGAGGATCCGGAGAAACGAGTTTGGATGGCTGGGGTTCCTGACCATTTAGTGCAGGTTTTGTTGAGTGATGTTCTTGTTTTGTAGGGGCTCATGACTTCCACTTTCTAAAAAAAAAATAAAAAATAAATGGAAAATTAAAAGTTGTTTAAGAAAGACCGTACAGTCCTGTAACTGTGCACGCTGCATTACAGTCGCAAATCACCAAATTGGTGAACTTCTTATTGCAATCGGAAGCTGAGAAGTTGCGATCATCATCAAGCTTTGATGTCCGTGGAAAGCGTTTAAATAGGGAATTGATAGCCTTCACTGCAAATGAATAGAGGCACGTGAACGAACAGCACCATAAATAAATAAATAATTGTAAGATTTAATTTGGTTAACAAATTAAACTTTAATTTTGTAATTATTTCAATTTAAACTGTTAACTTTTAAAATTTTATCAATTGTAACAATTTGTTAGTTAATAAGAACAGCTTAAATAATTTAATTACTTTTTGCCTGTGATGTTGGATGACGGCTGCAACTATGGACCAAGGAAGAATCAAATGGATTGTAATGAGCTGGAGAATGAGAGGAGTAACAGTGTACGGGAAAAAATGATAGAGGGAAGGCACTGGATTAGAAAAGAGGAAGGGTGATGATGAACAACGATAAAGGTTGAAGGTAGCTATCAACAAAAATAAAAGGAAAAAACGTGGTTAAATTGTCTATATTGTCAATTCTCCATTAACTATAGCTAACTAATACAAACCAATAGGTCGAATTAATACTATTTTAAAAGTTCAGGATTTAAATTAAAATAATTAAAAAAATGTTAAAATTTAATTTGTTGTTGAGATCAAATCTTACCAAAAAAAAAAAAAGAAAAAATTTTCTTTTATAATTTCTTCAGTTAATAAATATGATTGATTAGATTTTAGAAGTGAAAACAAATGTGTTGATAAAGAAAAAGGAACATATATACACCCAATCGTTTTTTATCCATGCAAATACGTGAGTTATATAAATAAAAGATTTAAAATTCAAGTAACAATTATTAACCATTATTATTTTGTGAATTAATTTTTAAGTGATAATGGAATTATGGATAGTTTTACTTTTTTATTTAAAAAAATGATAAGGGGTGTTCTTTACATACTAACTTTTGCTTTGTATAATAGTACAAACTAGCAATTGGTTGTGCGATGTACCTATTTTTTTTTTTTAAATATATTTGATGGTACGATATGTGTTATAAAAAAATAATTTAAAATTAAAATTAAAATTAAAATTAAAGTGTGATTTTAATTATATATTTTGATAATATTAACGCTATCGTTTTATAAAATTATTATTTGAATACCTATATATATTAATTTTAGTTAAATTATTTGTGTATTTTGATAATTTCAGTCCTATCACATTACAAAAGTGTAGTTCTCATATAATAATTTTGTATGATATATATTAAATTATAAGATAGTAATTAATACTCATATTGATATTAAAAATAATAGTTAAATTAGAAGAACAATTAGTAACATAAAATTAAAAGTAACTCTAACCATTTAATTTTCTTTTATATTCATTGGAAAAATAAAAATATATAGAAATAGAAACTATATAAAATTTATTGAAAAAATTAAATATAAATATGTTGTAGTTGGATTATCATATAATGATTTTATATGATATGTATTAAATTATAATATTGCAAAATAAATATTGTTAATGAAATTAAAATATCCACCATATAAAAAAATTCAACAATGACTAATCAAGAAAGAATCTCATAACATCTAGACTTAAAAAGAAAAAATAAATAAAAATATCTAAACGATAGATATATCTCAATATGTAAAATAATTAATTATCTGTAATATAATATTAAAATATAAAAAACTAACTTTAATATATATATATATATATTTGTACATTTGTGTAAAAAGCCATATGATAGGAGGATAATAGGGTTACTTTCACTTGGCAAGTTTGTATTGAAATTTGCTTTCCCTTCTTCAAGGAATGTTTATGGATTAGGGTGACCAACAATGCCACATACCATTAAATTTTTATTATTAACACCACCACTAATGATGTGGCAAGTAAAAAAAAAAAAAAAACCTAAGACACAAAACACATGCCACATCCCTAGTGCAACCACTAATTAGTGGTCTGCATCATTTTTCTTAGGATGACTGAGTGTCCATTTGGGAACTTTGATTAAAAGTTGTGTTTTGCAGCTTGTTCAAAAAAATTAGATTGGCTTTTTTGACATAAAAGTCATTTGAGAAGGTCTAAAAAAGTTACTTGTGAAATTACAATTATACTCTCTATATTGTTTAGGGTTATACATGAGCGAAAATGTAAATTTCCTAAATTAGATGGGGATAGTTTGGTGATTTTATTGTGATGTGACATCATAAACAAATATTGGGGTCTTTTGGGAAGAAACTAAAAAAACTATCAAAAAAGTCAAAAAGTCAGCTTTTTACCAACTTCCCCAATATTAACAAAAAAAAAATCAAAAATAATTTTTTACAAACTTCTCAAATCATTTTTTAAAAAAATTAAAAAATTTAATTAAAAGTTAAAAATTAACTTTTAACCATTTTCTTAAAACACCCTTAAAATGCGGGTTAACAGCGAACTAGATTAGTTCTCAATTGGTTATCTCTGTACTATTTTATTTCAAAAGGAAGGACAGGGGTCCATCCTTACAAAATGTGAAATTAATAATTTCTCCATTATTATGGAGTTTTAATTTGGTGTATTTTCTCTCTATATTGTGCAAGGACATCTGTGTGATTATTGATATGATTTACAATTTTTAATTGTAAATTATTTAAATTTTCAATGTTTGCAACATAAAACTGGTATTGGATTTGTGGATTATCTAAATTTATGATAGAAAATACAATAATGCTAGATAGCTCAAAATTTTGTGACTCAAATAACTTAAAACGACGTCGTTTTGAGTGCAAAACGACGTAAAACGACGTCGTCTTGGCAAATTTGAGCCATTTGAGCCACAAAATTTTGGGTTACCACACATTTTCCTAGAAAATATATGGAAAATAAATATTTCTCAAATAATGTCTATATAACATAGGTAAAGTTAGTATAATTTAATTTGAGTTTGCATTTGTATATAACTCTATATGCAAATGAAAACTACATGCACTTTTTTTTATTAAAAAGTAAGCCCTTAAAATTAGAAAAAGGAAAAATATTACTTTTTATATGGGAGCTTTTTTAATAAGTCTCTTTCTAAGAGTTTGATTCCATCTAACTCACATTCTTTTTATTTTTATATATTTCTTAATTTTTTAAAATATTTTTTTACAACTTTTTTACGTTTTAGATACATCTAAGTAAGGTGCATCTAAAAAAGTAAAAAAAAATGTTTAAAATTTTAAAAATATTCACTAAAAACAAAAAAACAAGAAAATCAAAAAATTCAATTTTCAAAAAATTTAATCCAGAAAACTCAAACTAAAGTTTTTAGAATCGATTGAGAAAGCAAAATTGATTTGCCTCTTATGTACGTGATTTAAAGATTGAGGAAATTTAATTTTACTCATCAAATTATCACTCATTTTGCAATCTAACTCACGTTATTTTACACTTAAACTATTGGTTATGGCATCAATTTTACCTCTATTGTCATATGTTGTCTATAATCAGATGAAAATTGCTAACATGACACTAAAATATAAAATATAATTAAATAAAAATATAAATAATTAAGAATTAAGAATTGATCTAAAACATAATTAAATTAGAATTAGATTGACATGTCAGGAATTATAATAAATAATTAAGAATTTAGAATTAATTGTGATCTAAAATATAATTAAATTAAAATTAGATTAAAAAGTTAGTAATTATAATAAATAGTTAAATATTTAGGATTAAATGTGATCTAAACTATAATTAAATTAAAATTAGAATAAAAATTTAAGAATTATAATAAATAATTAAGAATGTGATCTAAAGTATAATTAAATTAAAATTAGAATAAAAATTTAATAATTATAATAAATAATTAAGAATTTATAATTAATTGTAATTTAATTGAATTAATGCTAGACATTATAAATTATGTGTATGAGAGATGAGAGAGAAAGAAAATAACAAAAAATATAGCATTTGAGGGTATTATAATTATTTCACATCTATAGTTAACGGTGTTAACAGTTGTATTTTAGTCCAAAACCACATGGAGGGCATATGGCAATTTTTAAAAGACAAGAGATAAAGTGCTATCAAGTCATACCACATGGAGGTAAAATGAATTTTGAGCTAAAAATAATATAGATATTTTAATACATGTTTTTAAAATAATTAACATAATTTAAAATTATAAGGGTTAATTGCTGAAAAGTCTCTACATAAGGGGCCATAGATTATTTGGTCTAAGGCTTAATCTTTTTTTTTCGGTCATAAAAACATGTATAGTCCTCGGAAAAGTTGCTTGCACCAGAAAAGTTGTCGATGGTCAATTGATGGTAGTGAGGTGGACAGATAGTTGACATTGAAAATATAGATGAATAAATATGTGACACATGTACAGATAGGTGATATTTGGATAAATAGTTGAACATGTGACACTTGTATAGATAACTAATATTTAGACATATATGTGATAGGTTACATTTTGACAGATACAAATAGTTATCATTTTGGATAGATCAACGTCTTTTTAGTTCAAAAAAATTTGAGTTATGTCCTGAGTGCCCAAATTATTATACATTTTTGCAATACTTATTGTGGAGGGATAAAATGTAAGCCCAAGCCCAAATTAATTAGGTAGTCGGTCCAAAAGAAAGGGAAGCCCATATGAGCTTTTTAAAGAGCCTATTAGAAGTGACTATAAGCATGGGGAACAGTCGAGCATGTGAATATTGTTCTAGAAGAAGGATCTGCATAATGAAAGAGAAACGTTGGATTAAGTTTCATCGAACGGTGGAAACATCAAACAGCAAATACATAAGCATAGGTCAGACTTACTAGACGGTAAGTCCGTCCGATCAATGTGATCCGACGAATACAACGCTTGGCAAGTTGGCCACTAGCATCCAACATAATCTAAGTCATTCATAAGGGAATGATACAACGTTTAAAGACAAAAGCAACTTTGCCACTTGTATAACAAGAGCTAGATGCAAACAGAACCCTCGGATCAAATATTGATCCAATAGATAGAACCCAAGTTAAGAAGACTATAAAAGGCAAAGACTTGATCGTCGGAGGGTCCTCCCAACCTATCTTGGTTCAGGGTGATCACTAACATTTTTAGTTTCTCTTAGCAAAGTAAAGAAAGG